ACTGGTCTCCGCCAAGGCTGCGTCCTGTCCCCTATCCTGTTTGTGTTGTACATGGATAGAATAATCAGGAACAGCAAAGGTTAGGAAAGCGTCGGTGTAGGAGATGTGAAGACCAAAAGGTTGCTGCCTGCAGACGATGGCAACTTGTGAATTTGATCTAGAGTACCCTCTTGGAAAGCTTCGCAGCCGAGTGCGACGTGACAGGCATGCGTGTAAACGCATCTAAAACGAAAAGCCTAGAGCTTTCTCGTTCTCCTCCCCGTTGCTCTCTTCAGATTAACGGAGAGGCAGTGGAGCAGGTGAAGTTCAAGTACCTCGGAACTGAATTTACTAGTGATGGAAAATTGGAGGAAGAAATCGAATGGCGAATTGGTGTAGTCGGTAACGTTCTGCGTAAAGTCGCCCGTTCCACTGTGACTAAAGCAGAGTTGAATCTGAAGACCAAGCTCGCAGTTTTCAAGTCGATCGTTATCCACACGCTTTCTTACGGCTATGAGTCGTAGACCATGACCGAGAAGCTTTGAACCCGGGTACAAGCTGCTGAAATGGGCTTTCTTAGACGAGTAGTGGCCTTACGCGCCTCGACGTGGTCCGGAATACTGACGTTCGGAAGTGCCTTTGTTTGCCGCCTCTGCTTCTTCAGATAAAGAGGTCACGGCTGCGATGGTTTGGCCATGTTTTGCGAATGCCTCCAGAAAAAAGGGCTAAGCAGCTGTTTCTTGCAAATCCTACCGGCAGAAGGCCCAGGGGACGACCAAGATTAACCTAGTGCATATATATATATATATATATATAGACTTTGGCACAGGATCAGGAACGTTGCAAGCACTGCTTGACGCGTCTGCCTCGGCGACCAAAAATGAGAAGCTGCCATGGAAGATGAAGAGGAAGAAGATGAGTCGAAACATCGGTAGTAAATCAATTAATAGGTTAATTGATTTGCGTTGTGTACAATTAGTCCGTCCTTACATTGAACACAGGAAAATTAAGGAAAAGATTTCTTATTGCATGTATCATAATGGAAATGAATAACGCATAT